CCTGAGCAAAAGTCGGACGCTCAACCAACTGAGCCACCCAGGCTCCCCTCTTTAATTTTTTTTTAATGTTTGTTTATTTTTGGGAGAGACAGAGTGAGTGGGGGAGGACAGAGGGAGAGGGAGACAGAGAATTTGAAGCAGGCTCCAGGCTCTGAGCTGTCAGCACAGAGCCCAGCGCGGGACTAGAACTCACAAACCTTGAGATCGTGACCTTAGCTGAAGTCTGACGCTCAACCGACTGAGCCACCCAGATGCCCCCGTTTTGTTTTCTAAGGACCCAAGTTTATCATTTACTTGTATATAAGATTGCATCTTGAACGCTCAAGAAAAACCTGTGAAAATCTAACAAACTATGAAAAACTATGAAAAATAATGTAACATCTCACAAAAATCAATAGCTTCTCTATATGCAAACATCACATAGAAAATATGTATTTGAAGAAGAGATTTCCTTTAACAATAGGAGCTAGAACCATAAATTACACGAGCCAGAATCATAAAATACAAAAACCTCAGAAAATACAGTATCTCTGTAAAGAAAGCTTTAAAATGATTTTGAGGACTATAAATGAATAATTAAAAAATATATTTTCTGTTGGAAAGTAGTAGGAAGCCTTGATATTTTAAAAAGAATCAATTTCCAGGGTGCCTGGGTGGCTCAGTCGGTTGAGCATCCGACTTCAGCTCAGGTCATGATCTCACAGCTCGTGAGTTCGAGCCTCGCGTCAGGCGCTGTGCCGACAGCTCAGAGCCTGGAGCCTGCTTCTGCTTCTGTGTCTCCCTCTTTCTCTGCCCCTAACTGACTTGCATTCTGTCTCTGTCTCTCTCAAAAATAATAGATAGATAGATAGATAGATAGATAGATAGATAGATAGATAGAAAGAAAGAATCAATTTCCCCTAAACTGATGTATAAATTATTTAACACAATCCCCATAATAATATCAACATGACTTTAATTTGTAATGACTACACAGGCTATGTGTATGTTTTTGTATCTTGAGATGGCCCTTTTCCGGAAGGCTGGGCTGATCTGACCCTGTGAGCATATTCAGAGCTGCTATCCTTGGGAATCATCCCGTTCCCCCAGCGGGGGGTTTGGCCAGCTTCCCCCAACCTTCCTGTGGCTGAGAAGGTGCTCTCCTCAGACTTGCCCCCATTAAAAAGCTGGGTCATATGAACTCCATTTTACAGATGAGGAAACTTAGTCCCAGGTGGTAAAAAGTGAGTCCTTGCCTGAGGTCCCACGGCTAGTAAATTTTTCCATCATACCACCTGCTTTTCACTCTTTCGTGGTTTTAACACAGCACTGCCTGGATGAAAACGTTTCACCCCTAAAAATAAATGTTTTTAAATCCCCACTTAATGAACAAGTGAATTATAGGAAGAGAGCATGAAACCATTTCTCTAAATCAGCTTACATTCTCGATCATTACCTCTGAAATTAATCAGATTATATTTTACCTTTTTTTTTTTTTTTTT